TTGCTGCAATTATCCCTATTTTCAATGGAGGGCTCAATAGGGTGGCTTTAATTAGAAGTATTTGGAACGTTAATTTGCATTAAACAAAATTGTCATTTAATTCTCAACTCTCCCTATTTCTCTATGCACACAAATTCTCCGTACAAATGGGGATAACTTCAAGTCCTCAACTATAGGGAATCATATCACATTGTGTGTGTATACAAGTATCTAATTGTTCCTTCAACTTCTGATAATTACTATAATTGAAAGGAAAATAGCAGTACAAGTCTCCAATCTTTGACCAGTGTACTACTTGGATCCTTAATCATTAATATCGAACATTTAAATCATCAATCTTTCGATTTGGTAGCGCTTGAGTTCTCAATGGACTATTACGATTTTCTAGACAGTAGCTTCCACTCATCCTTCGGCTCCGAAGCCCATTTCAGTCATTGTCGCACACGATCCTTTGCTAGATGTAATGTCGATAGTTTCGAGAGTAAAGTATATATTATTTTAAGTATATTTAAACTAAAATATTACTAAAGTTAAGATGAAATTGCACGACGTCATTTTTTGGTTTTACATTTTAAAAATTGTCACTTTTAAATATTTTTTGCAAAAATATCACTTTTTGACTTTTTTACTCATGTGGACAATTTAAATTTTATACATGTCTGCAATTAATGTTGATGTGATTAAATAAAAAAAATTTAAAAAAATAATACACAAACATCCCATCAAACCCACCTAAGCCACATCCAATTCTCCCCACTTTCTAAACTTAAACCTAAAAATAACATTCAAACTAATTCCAAAAAATTGAAAAAAATCTCTTTTGCCCTTTAGGAGAATTTGTGAGAGAAATCTCACTTTCAACAATTTTTGAAGATCTTTTTCTTTCCAACGATCGAGATTTTCTTTTTCTAAGTTTGGGTTTTGTCTATGATTCCTCCATCTATGATTTTTTTTTTTTTTGTCGGAAAAAAAAATAGCTTTTGTTCTTTTTGCATTTTTTTGGGAATTTTTGGTTACTGGAAAAATGTGTGATATAAGAAATGAATAAATAAATTCAATATTTAAGAATTCTTTTACAAATTTCAGGATTTTCAGAGATGTTTGGACATATTTAAAAATCTGTAATTTGTCATTTTCTTTGGATGTATCAGAAAATTCAAAAATTTTGGGTCTAGAATTGGTTTTGAAAATTTTATTTCGATAATTTATTTGTGTTCAACACGAATAAAAGATTTTTAAAAAAAAAAAAAGAAAAAAAGAAAAGAAAAAAGAAATGAAGTCACCAACTATTTTTCAGCCCGTCGGTCCATTCTTCGCTTCCTATATAAAATTTAATTTTGTTTATTTTTCGATTTCATGGGTGTGAAGTGGGTTTAATGCAATGTAAAATACATTCTATGTTAATGTAAAAACAATATTATAATGAGTATCGGATGACTGTTAGAGTGCCTTTATGTCCATTCAAAGTGGTTTCACATGTTCCTTTCTCACTATCCCATATTCTTACACTACCATCAGCATAACCACCCCACCCAGTCCCAATCATCTTCATGTTAAATTGGTTCTGCAGAGATACCAGAGGGGGGGACGCATTGTGCGAAGAAATACCGCCCCTTTGACCTCCCAACAAACTGGAATTTGATCTCAACAATGATGGTGAAATTGGCCGGGATCCACCATGTGGATTGGGAGGCCCTTGACCTTGAGCTTGAGACACCATTTTTTCCCCCCAAAAACAACACACACTAATCTACAAAACATTCAGTCCCCTACACTGCAAAAAGTAACATTAAGTGCTTGAATGTGTGTGTGTGTAGCAAAAAAATGGGAAATGGAAACCAGCAAAATGAAAAGTAGCATTACAAGAGCAGGATTTGAAAGCTAGGCTGGGCCAGTTTGGCCAAAAAGATAAAAAGAACGTCGGATGAAGAAATTCCAAACTTCAACTGAACTTTTGTGTCCTTTTACTTTCGGCCAAGTCTCTTGACAGTTTGGTTGATCAGTTATAAACTTTACATGTAGTGACATTTATTTCTCTTTGTTATTGTTATTTTTCAGATAATGAGATTGCAATACGTTCTGGGACCATGATATAGGATTGACCATCCTCTTCAAGAAATAATGAACTTGTTTACAGGTCTTATTCTTGCACCTACAGTTCCAGACCACTTTTTTGTAGCCTACAACGTTCTTTCTAATACTATAAAGTATGAATATATTGCCATCATCAATGTTATATAATTACACTTCTGAAATATGTTTTGCAAGTGGCATAAATGTGATACACATTGTTGTAACATTTGTCAGACTTCATTCAACCAAAATCAGACTCAAGATTTTGTGCACTGAATATGTATAGAAACGTTGATCTTTGTTCTCATTATGTTCTAGCATAGGTACTATCTACTTGCACATTTTGACATTATCAATTGGTTTCAGTAACACCACTTCATTAAATTGTATTTCGTTGAGTTTATTCACTTATTTAGCAATTTATCTACTTTCTGAGAACTTTTAACATAGCACCATGAGCAAAAGAAGTACTGATATGCAGAAATCTAGGCCAATATTAACTTCTTTTCAATTGTCATCCAGTAAAAAGGAAAAAGGAAGGTGAGGAGAAGAGGGTGACTCAAGAAGAGATGTTTCTAGATGCAACTCAAACAGGTTCTGCCCATGACATTCATCTATAAGAGGGTGTTTTCGTTTAAATATGTTTGGGAGGTTTAATTGTTAGCTCGCTTGATTGCCTCATTAGTAACCCTTTAATTTTAACTGAATGTCATGAAAATCATATGTAGAAATTATGAATTTGAGAAACCTGGTACAGGTGTTAGCAAGAGAGGAAAAAGTTAAGAAAAGAGCCGTATTGCACAAAGCAGTTTACAGTAGCCCCCAGATACAATATCCTCCTATAAATGGAATGCTTTCTCTCTTCACTTGAAACCTCTAAAAGTTTTCTGTCCCCCAGGACAATAATGTCTTCAATTGCATCTCATTTCATATTCAAAATTATTTTTGGAACATCTGAAATGAATTTACATGTTCATTACATGTTATTCTTATCTAGAATTTGTGAGTGGAGCATCATTCGGTTCAGAGGTCTCGACAAAAGCTACTCCATGTATGTTTTATGTTCTTATCTTCCAAGTCATGTCATACTTTACACAAAATATATAATTTAGTGACCATGATACTTGGCTATTAGTCACTGTATAGGACAATAGGAGTTAAGAATCACATTTTAAATGGTAGCTGAATATACATTGCACTA